TTTGCATCCCTGGTGATGTCTTTTTAGAGGCCAGGTACTACGAATTATACTTCACTGGATGATTTATTTTGTATTCTTACAAATATTCTTGAGGTTTATTCTGGAACACAGTTAAATTACTTGGAAACAGCTGTCCTCTGGCTGGGCCGTGCTTTTCAGATTTGGGAGTGGGGATCAGAGCTAGGTTTAGTGTGGGGTTAATTTTTCCACCCGTAAATCAAGGGCCTTCTTACTCCTCCTCCAGTGCCACATGGATTATGAGGTTCTCCACTGTGGCTGCTGAAGGCAGAAGCTGCTTCCAGCTCTGACACTGTTTCCTCTAATCCTTTCGGGCAGGCGGTTCCCTGGCCTCAGACAGTTTCCTCACAAGCATACACTGTTTCCTACACGAGAGACTTAGTTGCTGGGTCGCTCTGCAGACTTCATCGGTTCTCTTCCTATGCATCTCTCCCTTTTCAGGAACTCTCCCCTGTGAACTTTGGCCACACTGACTTCCCTTGACTCCCAACACTATCTCTGAATGCAGGGGATGACCAGGTCATGACAGGACGAGCCTTCCTGGAGCCTTTAACTTTTTCCAGATACTAGGTGGGAATAATTTTGTTTCCCATCTCCAAGAGATTATTGTCCTTTGCTGCCTAAAGTTCAGTGTATTAACATTTCTTAGATATGTAAGGGGGGGGGGGTAACCTAGCAAGACAAAACACTTCTTTACTGAGGCCAAACATCACACCAAACAATGCAGCCCCATCCTCATCTGATGTCACAAGTTGAGCACTTTCACCACCAACCTGCCTGACAAGGCCTCCCTGTCCTGCAGTATGGCTGGGCCGTTCCCCATCCTCGCAGGCAGAAGTGAGGCCCGGAGGGAGCCTGAGGAGGGGCCTGCACTTCCACCCCGACCTGAGAGCAAAGACGCAGTGCCCCATCCCAACTGTGCAGCCAGGAGGAGGCCTGCTACGAGGGATTTAACAAACGCCCTGAATTTCATACCCATTTCCTGGAAATGTCCAGGATATAGACATAATCACTTGTCATGCCAAGAATCAAGAAATATACAACTTGGGAAAAGACAAAGGATGCTGCCACAGATGACAGATACTGAAATTACACAATAAAGATTTCAAAGCAGCCACCACAAAAATATTTCAGCAATCACAAACACATTTGAAACAATAAAAAAATCTCATCAATAGAAGATAAAAAAGAAAAAACCAAATGCAAATTTTAGAACTGAAATACAACAGCCAAAACAAAAATTCTGAATGGAGATGCATAAAAGCAGAATGAAGAGGAAAGAATCAATGACTCTGAAGATAAAACAATAGCAATTACTGAATCTGAACAAAAGAGTAAGCAAGTATACAAAAATGAACAGAGCCTCAGGAGTGTGTGGGACCATAACTAAAGATTTAACATTTGTGCCAAGTTGGTACCAGGAGGATGTGGGCGCAGTTGAAGGAATATTCAAAGAAAATAGTATTCCCACAGAACAGGAAAAAACCTTTTCAAGTTATATATTTAACAGGGGTCTTGTATCTAGAATCTATAAAGAGCTATTACATTCAATAAAAACACAAGTAACTTAATTTTTTAAATGGACAAATGTCCTAAATAGACATTTGTTCACAATACATATACAAAGGGCCAATAAGCACATGAAAAGCTGTTCAGCACCATTAGCCATTAGAGAAATGTGAATCACAACCACAAGATAGCACTTCACACACTAGAACAGCTATCACCAAAAGACAAATGTCGATACGGATGTGGAGAAAACTTCATACATGGCTGGTGGGAATGTAAAATGCTGCAGCCACTGTGGAAAATGGTCTGACCATGGTTCCTCATAGACTTCCTAAACCCTTTGTAATTTCCTGGGTGATAGGAATGTCCTTTGTCCTAATGAGGTGACTCTGGATGGGCTGGAGGCTGGTCACCACAAAGACCAAGCCATTAATTAGAAGCTCTGAATTTTTAACACCTGGCCCCCTCCTCCTCTGTCCCATCTTCCAGAGGGACGCTAGAAATAAGATTGACTGACTGATCAATCAAGCCTGTGATGAAGCCTCAATAAAACCCCAAATGTACTGGGTCTGGAGAGTTTCTATGTGGGTTGGGGAACATGGGCAGGTGCTGAAAAAGTGATGCCCAGCGAGGACATGGAAGCTCCACACCCCTTCCCACATGCCTCACCCTACGCATCTCTCCCATCTGGACGTTCATCTGTATCTTGTCTCATCCTTTTAGAATAAAGTGGTAAATGTAAGTAGACTGTTTTCCTGAGTTCTGTGAGCCACTCTAACAAATTACTAGAACCCAATGGGGACATCTGCAAGAACTTCAGATTTATGACTGGCCAGCAGAAGCACAGATGACAACCCAACTTGGGTTTGGTATTTGAAATGAGGGGAGGGCAGTCTTGCGGGACTGAGCGCTTAACCTGCGGGATCTGATGCTACATCCAGGCAGTTCAGAACTGAGTTAATTGTAGGACACCATGCTGGTGTTGAAGACTGCCTGGTGCGAGGAAAGCCCCCACAGCTGGCGTCCAAAGTGTTGTAAGTGTGGTCGTAGCGCTGGTTAAGGAGAAGCAGGGGAGAACTGGGTTTATCCTACTCAACATGGTAAAAAGGAGCACTGGAATATTAGGAAGGAAGAAAGAGCAATTGAAAGAGTGAAACTATGGGTAAACAAGCATGCTTTTTTCTTCTTCTTGAGTTTTCTTTATTATGTCTGATGCTTGAAGCAGGAAGTGGAGCATTTGTCTAATGTGGTTCTCAATGTAGGTAGAGGGTTTTTAAAAACAATTAAAAATAGTGAGGACAAAGGAATTTAAAAGGGAGGTAAGGTTTCTATAGTCGCCCCGCTGGTAAAAAGGCAACATCAGTAGACTGGTGATAAGTGACATATGCATAATGTAACACATACAGCAAATACTAAAATATCTACACAGATATTTTACACAGAAATATCTTCATAAAAATAAAATTTCTAGAGTCTAAAGCAACAAGTTTTAGCCCTGACTGGTGTGGCTCAGTTGGTTGGAGTGTTGTCCCACAAAGCAAACAGTCGCCAGTTCAATTCCCAGTCAAGGCACGTGCCTGGATTGTGAGTTTGGTCAGCATATATATGAGAGGCAACCAATCAGTGTTTCTCTCCCTGACTCTCTCCCTTTCTTCTCCTCTCTCTAAAAATAAATAAATAAAATCTAAAAACAAACAAGAAAAACAAGGTTTGCCCATCTTCCTCCATTTCTAGTTGTGTGACTATAGTCAAAGTAACTACAACGTAACTGCGTATTACTTCTGATTAGGTCAGACTGCAAGCCCTAGCTCCCTAGTGCAATTATTTTTACTAGTTTACATTAATAGTTAAAGTAGTCTTGAACAGATATTACGCAAAGTTCGTATCACAGTGACTGGTATATATCACGTACTCATTAACTTAAAGCTATAATTATTTACTAGGGAGATCTGGACAGCTACATGCAAAAAAAATGAAACTCGACCACCAACTTACACCATACACAAAAATAAATTCAAGGTGGATAAAAGCCTTAAATATACGGTATGACACCAGAAAAGTCCTAGAGGAGAACAAATGCAGGAAAATTCCAGATACCTCTCACAGCAATATTTTCACCAGTATGTCCCCTAGAGTGAGGGACATAAAGGAAAGACTAAACAAATGGGATCTCATCAAAATTAAAAAGTTTCTGCACAGCTAAAGAAAAAACACCATCAAAATGAAAAGGGAACCCACAGGGGAAATATATTTGCCAGTGATACCTCTGACAAGAGTTTGATCTCCAAAATATATAAAAAACTCATGACTCCATTCCAGAAAGACAAACAACTGAAATAACAAATGGGCAAAGGACCTGAACAGACACTTCTCCAAGGAGGACATACAGAGGGCCCAGAGTCATTTGAAAAGATGCTCAGCATTGCTAGCCATCAGAGAGATGCAAATTAAAACCATAATGATACCACTCCAGACTGGTCAGAATGGCCATCATAAACAAATCAACAAACAAGTGTTGCAGAGGATGTGGAGAAAAGGGATCCCTAGTGCACTGTTGGTGGGAATGCAGACTGGTGCAGCCACTGTGGAAAACAGTATGGAATTTCCTCAGAAAACTCAAAATGGAACTGCCTTTTGACCCAGCTATTCCACTGTTGGGATTATATCCTAAGAACCCTGAAACATCAATCCAAAAGAAACTATGCACCCCAATGTTCATAGCAGCACAATTTACAATAGCCAAGAGCTGGAAGCAGCTTAGGTGCCCATCAGTAAATGAGTGGATCAAAAAACTATGGTACATTTACACAATGAAATACTACGCAGCAGAGAGAAAAAAAAGGAGCTCCTACCCTTTGCAACAGCATGGATGGAACTAGAGAGCATTATGCTAAGTGAAATAAGCCAGGCAGTGAGGGACAAATACCATATGATCTCACCTTTAACTGGAACATAAGCAACAAAAGAAATAAGCAAACAAAATATAGCCAGAGACACTGAAATTAAGAACAAACTGACAGTGACCAGATGGGAGGAGAGAAGGGGATAACGGGAGAAAGAAGGGGAAGGGTCACCAAGGAACACGTATAAAGAACCCATGGACAAAGACAATGGTGAGAGTGAGGGGAGGACTGAAAATAAGAGGTAGAGGGTAGGCAGGGCAGGGGAGAGTAATAGGGGGGAAATGGGGACAACTGTCACTGAACAAAAAAGAAAGCTAGAAAAATAAAAAGTTTTCTTTGATTAAAAAAAAATAAGGAAATAAAGCACCCTGGCTGGTGTGGTTGAGTGAATTGAGTGCAGGACTGCAAACCAAAGGGTCATCAGTTTGATTCCCACTCAGGGCACATGCCTGGGTCGTGGACTAGGTCCATGGGAGGGGTTGCTCAAGAGGCAACCATATATTGATGTTTCTCTTCCTCTCTTTCTTCCTCCCTTCCCCTCTCTTAAGATAAATAAAACCCTTAAAGAAATAAAGTTGTAATTATTTATTATTGGTAAATAAAGAAGTTAAAGTTGGTCCTTCCCTAAAAACAACGAAAAGCCCATTCTTCTTTCAAGGTGTGAGAGTCTCCTCCAGGCGCTGACCTGACGGACACTGTGGCTGGTGAGGCCGAGGGGAGATCAGGTGGCACCTCTCTTTAAATTCGACCACACAGAGCGCTTCATTCCCTGCGCTGCCCGCACCTCCTCCCAGTCCAGTTTGATGTCTGAAACCTCATCTTCTGGCTCTGGATCCTTTCTCAAGGCCCCCTGGGGAGAGGCGACCACAATGGGCAGAGGGCCGCGTTCCTCCCGGAACTCCACAACATGGAGACTCTTCTTATCAGCCAGCTGCTGGTGGGTTTCCTGGGCAAGACCGAATGGAGAACAGCAGTTAGGTCTCTGAGGCACAACTGTCCTCAAAGAGCAGGATCTGCCTTCGGCCAGGAAGAAGTCGGCAGTGATAGCACTCTACTACTTAAGGGAGTTAAATACCCTTTCAGTTGATTCTGGGGTGACCTGCTACAGGTGGAATCATCTCAGCCCTGCCTCTCTACCCCCAACAGGGATGGAGAAAGGGCCTTGGCCTCTGGTCTTCCAAGCCCTCCCAGTTATGTGCCAGGTTGTACCCAAAATCAACTGGAATCTCATCAAGCCCCAGTCTAGCTCCCATTTCACGGGACACAAAAAGAAGGGTCCACAGATAAATTGTCAGCACCAGACCGGGAAACCACAAGACAAACAATCTGGTTTCTTCAACAAAATAAATGCAAGAAAAAAGAGAGGACCCTACACATTAGTGACTTAAGACATAGCAAAAACTTACAATGTACTGACCTATCTGCAATCTGATTCCAAACTGTGTAATTTTTTTAAATCTAACAAATGAACATTTCTATAAACACTGATGGGATAGATGTGTTATAGTACTAAATTCCTGTTAATTCTTTGGGTAAGAAAATAATAGTATCGTGGGGTAGTTTCAAATCCTTATCTCCCAGAGATACGTATATATGGATGAAATACAAAGATGTCTGAGATCTGGTTCAAAATAACTACACCGGGGTGGGGGTGGTGCTGAAAAACAAAACCAACCACAGGCTGCCGCCCGCTGCTGATGGCGCACAGGAGTGCGGGGGCTCACGAAGGAAAGTGGGCACAAAGTCTGGAAACAGGCACATACATTTAGCAGATGGCTTATTAAAATACTTGGTATGTTCAATGTCATTTTTCCAGACTCTGTCCACTTTGCAGTATTCCAAGTCTATACATGTTTGAAATTAGAAAGGAGGTGAGTTGTTTCATGAAAACCAATGCATGTTAAATCAGTGCATGTTACTTAAATTGGTGGCCTTTTTTTTCTCGAGTAGCACATTAAATAATGCAACTTTTTTATAGCTGATGGCATTTGAGGTGGTTTGCATGATACATAGTAATTATAGTAGAAGATTCAAAGTACTAACATAAAACAAAAATATCACAAAACTGAACAAGTATACTTAGTTATAAGAATAATCTACCTAAAACCTCAATAAATCCTCAATAAACAGAGGCCAGGAAAAGAATTCTCTTAAACCTGGTTGTCTCTCCTGTCCCTCCTTTCCAGGGACAGTCAGCCCTTCGTGTCTGCTGGGAGCAGAGCGCCTATGAGCCCACCCAGGCTAAAGGGGTGGATGGGCCACAGCCCAGGGCTCCCATCTGTGTGGAAAAATAACCTGGCATATTAGTGCTCGTGGTTCCTAACTCAGGTATCTGTCTGAACGCCCTGTGCAAGTACCATGGGCTGCTTCTACTGAAGACAGCTCTCAGGAGGAGAGAGGGGGCTGAGGGACTTCACCCCAGTCCAAGCAGAAAGGACTAAATTAGAAAATAAATTTTTCTTATTTTAATTTCTCTATTGTTGGAGATTTAGAACAAGCATGCACTCTTTTCATAATAAAATACAGATTGTGATTACTGGCTCTAAAAAATACTTGATTTTGAAAGTTCAAAAATTCCATAAAGTATTTTTTAAAAGGCTAATCTTCATGAATTAACTCTTCAGGGCATTAACTACCTAATTAGAAAGCAAAGAACTCCTGTGTCCTCCTCAGGCAGCCCCAGGACACAGTAGTCTCAACGCACACAGGTGGGTTGCAAACTACAACTTCTGTTTCAGACCCAGGCAGGGTTACCTGGCGAGAGAGTCCGTGGAAGATGCCCCGGGTGAGGTTGAGCATGTTGAGGGACCCCGAGACCTTAGCATACATGTCTGTGATGCCAACAAGACGGCAGATGGTAATGATGGCCCGGTGACAGCGGAGTCCATAGCCTAGAAAAGGGAAAAGTCAGGGTCACCCTGTTGGCTTTCCCAGGGCTCTAGGTTCTGGGTTTAGGACTCTCACAGTCTGGCTTCATCACGTCCCAGCTGGGTGACCCTTGACAACTTACTTGATTTCCCTGAAGACCCCTACCTTACTTAAATGAGATGTTATTCAGATTAAAGGAATTACATAGATTTCTTGAGCACATGGGCCAAAAAAAAAAAGAACGAAGTTGGTATGAAGACTAACTGACCTGCCTAAAAGTCCTTGGCACCCTGCTAAGAAGTAAGGATCCAGGGACACATCCTCTGTTGCCTGTGACTGCTTGGTTGCACTGAGCAGAGACGCCCACTTTCCCCTCCTGGAGACCCCTTCAGCTTTGCTTACACTCTCCCCCAATGTTCGTCTGGCCCGTCCCCTCTCACCTCCTGGCTGGCCTTCCCTCCAGCCACATGCCCTATTCATGTCTACTAATACCTTCTCCAGGAAGAGCTTCAAAAACACAAACCAAACACATCGCTTCCCCTTTCAAGCACCCACTTCCCGTTGTTCTCTGAATTAAAATAAAAAGAAAGAAAGAACTCCACTCCACAAAGCCCTCTATGATCTGACATCCTGCTGCCCGCACACGGAGACTCTGCCTCCACCTCAGGGACTCTGCACTTGGTGTTTCCCTGACCGTTCTCCCCTTACGGCTACTTCTCACTTTTAAGGTCTCACTCAAATACCTCCTCCTCAGAGAGGCCTCTCCCACAAGACTGAAGGTGTCACCCTTCCTTCCCCAAGGCAGGACCCCCCCGCCACACACACACACACCAGCATCCTGACTGCTGTTTCAGGCCCTCAACAAAACCTATCTATCCAATGTTCCCCTCAGTAGAACGTGGGCTCCATGAGAGCCGGATATGGTTTGTTTACTGCTCTGCCCCTGGAGCTGAGGTCAGCACCTGGCAAATGCAGGTGGTAGTGAGAGAAAAGAGCCTGAAGTCTAGATGTTAACATTTGCATTAGACAGGCATGAAACTCAGCAACTTCCCCACTCACTTTAAGGCATAGCACTTTCCTTGGTGATTCAATATATGCATGTAAAAACTATATTTGAATACAAATACATAACATATTCTTACCTAGAACTGTCTTTTCTATTTGAAAGAGAAAAATAATTGTGGACTCTACAGCTACACCATATCATTTGAGAACTGAGGGCTTTAGAGGGTGGCTAAAGACAGGTTAACAGTGGGGTGGTTTGTTGTCCCCTGTAGTTATACACACACGTGTCTGTGTGTGAACAGTGTACACACATACTGGTGAGTACAGATGCACCCACCCCTGGGGAGGTGCACATGCAAAAGAGTGCACGGCAAGTGTCCGTGGGACCTCAGAAGCACACCCTGCCCTGCCACTGCTCGAGGGATGACCCAGGTAGGACAGGGATCACTCAAGGAAAGGCATGTACCGCTGCCCAGCACCTGGACCACACCGGACACTCTACCAATGGTAGCCATTGCTTTGCAGAACATTCCCAACAATGTTATGCGAGGGCTCCCTGTATGGACTTTGATTGTGAAGACTTCCAGGCAGGGGTTATGTAAAAAAAAATTTGTTTAATAAAAGCTAAATTCGTGCATGTGTGTGTGTTTTGTATAGGAAATGCTTTGTAGTGCTGGGTGAGAAATTCAGTCCTGTCCTGCAGGCAGAAGTGTCCCACAGTTAAGTAAGCTTGGAAATGCTGCACCCTTGACCCCCCTCTGGGAGATGCACGCTGCGCAGCAGGGCATAAGACCGCGATACTCACAAAGATACACAACATCTTTTTGACTTTCCTTTATCCAGTTTTCCTACTTGGGGCTCTTTTTGAAGTAACACCTATGAATATCTTCTCATGGAAATAGTGGCGTACAGGAACATACTTTAGAAAAAGCTGTCTATAATATACCATTTTAGCTTCAAAATCAATATTTAACCCCAATGAACAGTAGTAGGTTAAACTATATCTTCAATAGAAACCTGAAAAATACAGCATGAATTAGGAGACAGGGAAGATAAAAAATGGTAACTTCTACAATTAAATTAAGATTGGGGCAGTCTTTCAAAAACCATTTAGGTATAAAACCATTCAGCCTTCTTAAAATCTAACTTAGGCCTTTCAAAAATGAGCTCAAGTAAAAGGGAGAAAAAGAAAGGAACCAACAGAACCACTGTAACTGCTCTGCTTTATCTTCAAAAAGTTGTTATGAGTTTTTTAGTTACCTCTGGGTTGCTTCTTCATCTTGATATGTGTCCTTTTAAATGTTAAAGAGATGTCATGGAATACTGGAGAGTCAAAACACAGAGAGCAGCAGAATCAGGTATACAGCATTAATGACCTTGCAAACACCACAGAGCAACTAAGAGCCTAAGCAGCCAACACCCAGTGGCCAAGGATAAATGACCAAGTCTGATTTCACTCATCACCACCTTCTCAGGAAAGAAAATCTGTTTCTGCATTTTTTTATGTATATTGTCAGAACCTAACAACAAGCAGAGAGAAACAAAGCTGCCACAGAAATACTGCCACACGTAACGGGAAAGTGCAACCCAACAAATTTTAAAAGATTAACACTCACTTGTATGGTCTTCGTATCGTTCTATATAATGCAAATAGTGAACAGCTCTGTTCTTTGCCTAAAAGAAGAAAAATATTTTTCTTAAATCTACTGTTGAAATTTACATTTTCTCAGAGATTTCAAAAAATACCTTTCACAGAATACTTTATTATGGAAAATTTCAAACATACACAACAAATTTCAGTATACACTTCCAAAAGCTAATGATTTAATAAAAGAAATCTTAATCTTTTTAAAAAAAGATTTTATTTATTTATCTTTAGAGAGGAAGGGAAGGAGAGAAGGAGAGAAATATCAATGAATGGTTGCCTCTCATGAGTCCCCTGCTGGGCACTGGCCTGCAACCCAGGCATGTGCCCTGACTGGGAATCAAACTACGATGCTTTGCTTTGCAGGCCCGCGCTCAATCCACTGAGCTACCCCAGCCAGGGCAAAAGAAATCTTAATCTTCATATCACTATCACATCTCAAAAAGTTAACAATAATTCCTCAGTGTCCTCAAACATTCTGTTAGTGTGAGACACTTTCTGAGCTGACTCACAATTCTGGTAACGATCACAAGTCTGATGAAAATGATGCAAAAGAACACAGGCATTTCAGAAACAGCTGTTTGTGAGAGATGGAAACTCAGACGGCAAGCCTTGGGGAGGGTTCCTATTTTATTTTTGTGCGTGGTCCCCATGGCGTCTCCAGAGCCTGCTGCTCTCTTGTCAACAAACAAAAAAATGCACGTACTTTCCTAAAAGCGTCCGACCGTTCAGTGGCTTTCCCAACGGCAAAACCTTTGAAAGAAAAAGCCAAGCTATGAAAAGGGGCATACATCTGGTACATCACATTTCAAGTTTCAGCTCCCACAGTAGTTCACGGCACTTCATTTTTCTTCTGCCCACAGAACACCTGCTATCCAAAGAGGCTACAGGGATTTGGTGATCTGTTTTGGGGCATTTTGGAAACAGTACATTTGATTATCTATGAAATCTGTAACACTACACTTCTATAAATCTCTACATAAAACTATATATACTCAACAAAAAAATAAAACCTAACCATGCCCTAAATTAATAATGCACACAGTTTTGAATATTTTTGAAAATAACCAGAAAGGTTGGGAAAACATACACTGATACAGAGTGAAGGTATGATTTCACTGGAACTTCTCGATGCAACACAGATTCAATGAACCAGGAGATATAATCGGTGACTCCTGACTGTGTAAGCGCTTAGCCCCGTAAATGAGGTTTGTCACAAGTTACCGGAGACCCCTCCACTGGTTGCCATCACCATTATATTATTTATTCTGAAGAATGTACTTGAAAGTTATAACGTACAGGAAAGCAACATAAGACAGTATCGCTCCCTGAGAGATAACAGACACCTGAGTACTGGGGACAAAAGGAGTCTAATTTCTAGTTAAAACACAAATTAAACCACAGAGTCCATGAGAAAAACATGAGTAAATGTTTTCAACCTTCAGATGAAGGTTTTCTAAGTATAAAACCAGAAAAGCAAACACAAAACTAGAGGTAAAAAAAGACTGATAAATTTGCTATGTGAAGATTTAAACAACTTCTGTGAATTTTAAACTTATGTGTGAAAAAATAAAAGAAACTCAATTAAAATATATGATAGCAATGGGCCGATGCCTTTATCCTACGAAGAGCCATATCCTCAACAAGGAGAACAATCACCCAACAGAAAAATGGGCAAAGCAAATGAACTGACAGATCTCAATAATGGCAATAAACACATAAAATAGTGCGCAAACTCTCACAGTTAAGGAAATGCAAATCAAAATAAAGAGATAGGTTTCACTATGACACTGACAATCAATAGTTTGACTTTATCCAGGGCTGGCAAGGGTGTGAGGGTTCAGGGGATCGTAAAGTGGTGCAACCTTTTGGGAGGGCTCTGGCAGTATTTTGTCAACATTCTAAGTGCACATGACTTTGAGGCAGCAATTTCAGTACAAGAAATTTCCTCTATTGACATTCTTGCCAAAGCACAACAAATTACATATACAATAAGCTGTGCTTTTAAATAAATGCTACAAAATTTGAAACAACAAATATTCATCAATAGAGAAAAAGTAACAAAAATTAAATTTACTCACACAATGGAATGCTATGCAATCGGCACAAAGAATGAGGGGGCATCTACTTATGCTCATACAGCAAGATCTTTGGGTAACACAAAGTGAGAAAGGTACAAAATTATGGATGTAGTATGATCCCTCTGTGTAAATTTTTATAAAAAGATACATGAATAATTTCTGGAAAGATACAAAAATAACTGTTAAGATTGATCTCCTTTGGCAATATACTATCGATATGTATGACTTGTTATAAAGTGTCAACGTAGTTTAATAGGCAGTTTTCTTTCCCTTACACAATCAGGTACACTTCAAAAATAGACGTTCACTATGAAAACCTATAGAAAAGTATAAAGAAAATTTAACTGAGTGGCAAACCTATGAATTAGAGTAAACATAATTAATCTTTTTGGAGTATATCCTTACTCCCAAGTCTTTTCTTAAGCCTGTTAAAACATCCACTGGTCCTCACAGAAAAAGGCAGATACGGGAAGATCTGTTCTTTCTTTTCCAAGGGACTTCATGCGTTGACCACAAGGTTTGTGAGCTCAAACCCTAAAATATTTCATTTGCCAGTAGAAAAAGTCTGGCCAGCCGCATGTGCCCAAGGACTCAAAGCCAAGTACAGGCCACACATATCCCCCCGCCTCCACCACCAACACTGCCACCGGCACCGCCCCTGTCCCCAAAGCCCATTCACCTGCGGCGCCTCTGCCATTCCCCACAACAACCAGGACACGGACGGATTTCTTTCTTCCCTCTTTTGCTGTCATATTGAAAACATTTCGTACCTAAAAGGTAGAATGTTTCATAAATATTACACCTTAAGAAAATTCTCAAGTGGGAAACTGGAGTGGCCTCCTTACATGTGCATGCACACACACATGCACACTCAATGTGAACAGAGACACGCCATCTCTGACCATAAGCTCAAACACACACTTCCTCCACAGGAAGCCTCTCCCTAGACTATTCCTTCAGGAGTGAAATGGAAGTAAGATTCTCTCTTCTTATTTCACAGGGTAGTAGCAATTCAACTGAGGTAACTTAAAGGGATTTGAAACCATACAACTCAATGTACCCCATTTTAACCAATGTATACAAAGAAAAAAGTTACTGATTAAACTTTGACATAATTTACAGCTGGTGGCTATAAGACATCCAATATCAGAGATGTTGAAATATGAAAAAAATGTGTATTTAGAAGGAATAAAATACAGTATATTAGCATAAATCTGGATCTCTACACTAAGGATTAGGCTCACCTGAAAACAGAAAAAATTTGGAAATACCTGATTATGAACTACAGGAAAACCTGCTTTTGGAGGGGAGTATATAAAAGGCCAAGAACCATGAGTGTTAACTAAACTGCGTACATAGCAGCCCCTTTCCCATAAAATGAGGTTAAAGGAAAAGGGAGCTAGAGTCCACTCCTGTGGATCACCTTACAGGAAATCACCCACATATACAAGAATTCTTCAAGGGAATTAACTTTCAAAACATATACACTAGGGCCCAAAGATATAAAATAGCTGTAAACATATTTTAACACAACTGGTATTGAAGAAACAATACATAAATCCACTCACAAACTCAATAAATGATTACTCCATATGGCAGTTAACAATGACCAAGCCTGCAGCACCAGCTCTAAGGGAAGATGCCTAATTCAGGGACTGCCCTGGAAAATGACTGAAATTTACCTGACACAGGCTTCAGTCTCCAAGGGCTGCTGGGTGATTTCCCATTAAGAGCAGTATATTCACAGCAGCTCCACACATTCCACTCCTGCCCTGTGGCTCCTACAGTCTCTGCTCACTGAAATGATGCCAGATACAGCTGGTTCGTAATTCAAGGACAGATTGCTAATGCTACTTTAGCATAAGGAAGGAGGGAAATATAAATATAATCACCAACTTCTGTTATCAACATCACCAAAGCTGACTTGTCAGAAGGTCTCAACTGGTAGCCCCCACAAAAGGGCAACAGTCAGGAGAATCAGTACCAAGTGACTGAAACTCAAGTTTCATTATTTTCTTACCCAAATCAGCTCTGTGTCTGAAAACACATCACGCATCAAGGCTTTTCCTCACAGTCATCTTGCCCTATCTCCACTCTACCCGCCCCAACTTTCCCAACTTCTCCAAAGGCCTAACTGGGTACTAAATTCAGCATGCCTACCTCCAGTATCCTGGTATCAAAATCACCATATGTTTCTGTAGAAAGAAAAGAAACAAGCATATAGATACGTGTTTATACAATCAGCATACAAAAGCATTTTCAACACAGGCACGGTCATCAAAGTTATGTGAGACAGAACTCGGCTCTTTTGGTGCCACTTCCCAGGACGTGCCCTGGCCCTCCACCGTCACCAGACGGCTCCACCATTAAATCCATAAACGGAGCCACCACCTCCCTGACTGCATCCTCCTACCCCTCCAGCTTTCTCACTCTGACTCCCCAGGCAATGGCTCTTGCAGCTCCCAGCACCTCCAGACTCTCGACCACTGTTTTCTCTTCCCTCTCACCCTCTCTGGTCTTCACAGCCTCTCCCACTCGGCCAACATCCCAGTCCATCATTTCCACCAGATCTTGTGCATCCTCGGCTGCCTCACCCTCTTCTCTCCACCACACTGTCTAGGCCTAAATCAATTTGGCTGCCCCTGGCCACCCCTGGCCTGCTGGGTGCTGCTGCTGGACAGAAGTCAAAGCATAGTCCACACAGGGGCCCCTGAACATTCACAGTCTCCCTGCCACCCGTCCGCCTTTTGTGTCCCCTTAGTCAGGCCTCTTTCCACTCACCACACAGCCTCAAATACTGTGTTTTTACCTTCCTACTACAGAAAATTTCAATCATTTACAAAGACAGCTTATGTACTTATTAGCCAGCTTCAAGAAGTACCAACTCATGGTCAGTCTTCTTTCTTCTCAATTTTTCAATTACCACTCCACTGGAAGCCAGTCCCAAACGCCCAACTTCTCATCAAAATATTCAGTGGCCATGCTCATCATGCCCCACCCTCCCCTCAGCAGATGCCTCTCCTCCTCACAGTCTAATCGAAGCCACCAGACAGACATCTTTCACAGCCTGTCCCCCCCACCACTTCCACTACCAACACCACTGGCTCGCCCGAATCTGTCGTGAGTTAACTAACTTCTCTCTGCTCTCAATCTGGGCCCCGTTTAGGGACTTAGCTGACTGCTTCTTCCTGTCTCCCCCCGTACCTTTCTCCCCTCTGAAGCATTTTATTCAGCTCTGAGCATGTTCCCCAGAGTCTCTCCATCTCAACCTCTGCTCTTCTCTTTAAGCCAAACTTAAGAAAGCAGCCCCATTCCTATCTATTTCCTCATCTTCACCTCAAGAATGAATTTGAGATGATTTTTACTTCTCTACTTACACAGGTGGTGGGGGAGTGAGGAAGACTCTGTTTTCTAATTTGGCCTGGTAAGCATTACCATTTTTTCTTTCATGTGTACTTTAATGAGGCTTAACCACAACTATCTGGTTCATCCTCTGTTATGGAAACAGCTCCCTCGCCATGCTGCTCCACAGACACCCCATGATCTGTTATGTTTGGGAACATGCTTGCGTAGCTCCATAACGCACATGACCACATTTACGGCTCTGAGAACCACACAATAACAATGTCCGAACCCAGGGCTTGGCATCTGTTTATAGGACATTTCTTGGTTACAGGCCTCTAATGTTCCATAAAATACAGCAGGATAATAATATACAATTATTTCAACGATGTTCAAATCCCTTTTTGGAAAAAAAAATCTAAACAGATAAGTAAGTAAAATCATACTAAGGAACTCCAGAACTACAAGTACTCTCTCACAAAGGTAAGCAAAACCAGGACTCTGCTACCTCCATTGGGACCAGGGTCGGGGGGGCCAAGACTGACACCTCCCCATGAGTTTCCACTCCAGCCTCGTTCCCGCTTAACCTTCATCTTCCTCTTCCGGTCCCATTCTTCTCTCTGCTGGATCATGTCAGCTTGTACCTTCTCCTGCTCTTCTTTGCTTCTTTGGCCAATGGTCTGCACAGCTCCATCCCTCATAAGAGGGACATTCAGACCAGGCCATAGAAAGCCACTACGCCCTGAAGGTTTAAAAACATACATGAATAAAAAAAATTTTAAACATTCATTTCTTGATTGTTAAAATGCCAGGCAATGGGTGTACCGGTGACACTGCTTGTAGGTGCTTAAAATGACATAATCACTAGGCAGGCCACACCTGGCACACTTATAAAAATTTTCAATGTATCTACCTTAACAGCTATTAATCTCACTTCATGATACTGCATAAAGAAATACTCCCACACAGGTAAGAGGCCTATGTGTGCCTGGACAAGGATGTCCACTAAAGTGACATTTGTAAAGGCAAAAAATGGAAACAATGTCCTACACGCCCAGCACTGATGGACTAAATGAACCATGGCACTTCTAACCTGTGAAATCTTCTGCACTAGACTGAAATAATGAGGATGTTCTACAGATTCTGATGTGGAACAATTTCCAAGACCTCTTACTGAGTGAAAAAGGTAAATTACAGAACAGTATGCACCACATAATTTAATTATTTTTAAAAGAAAAAAATATATTTTTAGGATTTTTAGGTATATAAAAGCATTAAAAACGTCACAAGGAAACACACCCAAATGCCATCAGTGGTTTCCTTGGGGTAACAACTGGGAAGGGAGTTACTGAAAGGGCACCAGGACGACTTAGGTTCCTCCTACAGTCTGCTTTTTTTACTGAGAAGTATTTATGTATAATGATTATAATTTTTAAGTGTTATAAAATAGAATACAAGCCAAGTCAGAAAAAAAACATCCAAGTGGACATGAGTAACTAGAACAGTGAAGGTGGTTTTTTCATGCCTACAAGGCTATTACTATCAACCATAATTTGTCAGCAACCACAGTACAAAATGGCAATTCAAGTACACCATATTATTTTTATTCTTCAAAAAACACAAAAATAAACAATCATATGTTCCCGGGGTTGGCAAACTATGGGCCATGGGCTGAATCCAGTCTACCACTTAAAACTTTTATTGGAACAAGCTATGTATTGTCCATGAGAGTTTCTGTGCCCCAACGGCAGAGTTCAATGGTTTAACAGAGACCATGTGGTTCACAAAGCTGAGACTATTTATTTATTAGCCCTTTGCAGAGACAGCTTGCCAACTCTCCATTTACTCCATTTTTTACCCTGAATCATTACCTGAAGAAGGTAAGTGTCAAAGCAGATGCCACACTGGCACTGAAGGCTTATTGAAGGAATGAATGAATCCCTTTCTATGAAATTTTTCTCCCCCAGAATCCTGGAGCAATAAGCAGCAGATTCTAATGCCCTTCACGAGAAATGTTTTAATGCTTTTAGACTGTACAAAGATCTATAAAATTGGCAGGGGGGCAGGGGCCATGGGGCATGGAGTACAGCAGCTATTTTTTAAGTGAGTGAGTTTACCTTCACCGATGATCTGACCCCTGTTCAAATCCTTTCTTCTCTTTTTCTTAGTTCTCTTGCCTCTTCCTTTTCTTGCTCCAGCACCAGTCTCTGCTAAAGCACCTTTCCACAACTCATCTGCTGTCACTATAATGAAATAGGTTTTTATTTATTTATGTCTCAAAATTTTTTAGCACTGATCCATGGTCTCCCAGTGAATAACAAAGAGCCAGAAGAACCCAGCTTCACTTGCAACACTGCAGCAATGAAAGCAACATTAAATCATTCTTTGCCCATTACCACATGGTTACATTTGGAAAGCCCAAGAGGCAATTCTGCCACTTTCAAGTAAGGCCCTCCTCCACAAGATAGCCAACATTTAAATCTCAACACACACACACACACACACACACACACACACACACACACCCCCCCATTTACCAGATTTGTTTCCCAGACATTTAATCAGCTATGTTACAGGTCTCTTCCCTGTCCTCTTGCCTCCATTGTAACCATTGAGATAATCAACAACTATCCTTCTTAAATAAGGTTTTTTAGCCCAAATAAGAATTGGTATGTCAATCTAAATCAATAAATGTTAATAATTTGGGCTTTTTTGCTCTATTCTTTTGTGAATGCCCTAAACATCTCTGTGTATCCTTCAAAATCAAATGCCCAAATTCACCTTCAACTCTGATTAAAGTCTAATCAATCCACAGGAAAAATTGAGTATGAGCCTGGTAGTTAATACTTGCATGTGAGTGTGTGTCTCTTAAATCATGTGTGCCTTGCCCTGGCTGGGTGGCTCAGTTGGTTGGAGAGTTGTTTCAAACTCTAAAAGGTTGCCTGAAAGGTTGCCAGCTCAATTTCTGGCCAGGGTAGCTACCAAAGTTGCAGGTTTAATCCCCAATTAGGCCACATACAAGAGGCAACTGACCGGTTTCTCTCACATTGATGTTTTCTCTCCCCCCCCCCGCCCTGCTTGCTCTCTCTCCAAAATCAATAAACATATCCTCAGGCGAGGATAAAAAAATCATACTTGTCTTTTACTTATGTACAGACCCTGATGCTGCTGATTTATCTCCACTTGTGAATTTCTAGGATCCCAACATCTTTTCCTACTATACACTGCAATCAGTATTTTCCCCTTTGTGCTTGTGAAATGTTCAGATTCTTTACTTCTGAATTTTATTGGTGTAGCTACACCATTTATTAGATTTAAATTTTCTCTTCCTAAGGATTTCCAGCCTTTCATGGTAACACCAACTGACTGTACAGCCCCAGACTGTTACATAATTGATTTAATAAAGGATCAAGAGCCACATAAATGTAGTACTGGCAAAAAATCTAAGCTGCATATGGCTGCATGCCTGAAGGACTAAACATATTCTAGAAGACACAAGTGAGCATCTTCATTCTCTTTCATTCTCTTTTTCTTATGGGCCCTTACAGTTTAAGAGTTCTATCTGCTTGCTTTGTGGAAGGCCTTACCTTGACCCTCAAGGTAGGCAACATGGAAAGAAAAAAATATTTTGGATTTATAATACTGATAAACGCTTTTACCTGCACAGTGTACCATTTTTCAAAATACACACATACTATTACAGCTGATCTTCATAACTGAAGGTCGTAACTCCACATCACATGCTGCTTTGTATATCCATTATGAAAGCAGAGTTTAGGTTGGGCTCAAATTTTAGGATAACGTTAATTCACTTATAAGAACCATAGGTTCAAAGTAAAATTACCAACTGCAGCCCTGTCTGGTGCGGCTTAGTGGGTTGGGCATCGTCCTATGAAGGGAAGGGAAAGGCTGCAGGTTTGATTACAGGCTAGGGCACATGCCTGGGCTGCTGGGCAGGTCCCGGATGGGGGTGTGCCAGAGGCAACCTATTGCCGATTCTCACACATGGATGCTTTCCTCTTTCTCTCCCTCCTTGCCCTTCTGCTTAAAAATAAATCTTTTGGTTCTTGAAAATCTTAAAGAAAAACTACCAACCTCAGACTAAACTCTAAAGATCTGATTTCCTTTCCTGATTGCTTAAAAATTATAGTACCTACAAATGCCATTCAAACCTGAAGTTCACAATGAGAACATTTCTAATGGGGTCATATTAAGAAGCCAAATGATTACAGAGCTTTTCATTGTTTAGAATCCGAATAAGCAAATCAGAGTAAGTTATTCTATGTTCATAACTTGGTATTTAGACAAAGATGTAGAAAACTAAAGAGTTTAGCTCATTTTATTTTTACATAAGGGGGAAAAAAACTGCTAACTACATTGGACAAAGACAAGTTATCTGTCAACTTTTGAATACCATCAATCTACTTAAAATGGTTTTAATCATGTATAAGATTATAACAGAAAGTTATTTCTGAAATCCTGAAAATATAGGTAGTATGAAGAATTTGAAAAACAATTCATAATCCCATCACTGTTAGATTATAATATAAATTCCACCTTTTTCTTTATTCATGCACACATATATAAATGTATACATTTTTGTTTAGACAAAATTGAAATTATAACATATGTACAATTTTGTATCCTGTACTTTTACTTATTACATTGTGAGCTTTATCTCATATTCTTAATATTATTCATGAACACAATTAAAAAAAACTTTTTAATCCTCACCTGAGGACAGTTTTTTTTTTTTTTAGAGCAAAAGAGTTTGGGGGGGGGGGAGAAACATCAGTTGGTTGCCTCCTGTGTGCACCCCAACTGAGGATCACACGCCCAACCTGGGTACCTAGGTATGTGACCTGACCAGGAATTGAACCTGCAACCTTTTGTGTACGAGACAATTCTCTAACAAACTGAGCCACATGGTGAGGGCATGAACATAATTTTTAAATGGCTGTAAGTTAAATTAGATTGTTTTGACAAAGATTTTATTATTTTAATATCAGGACATACTCGTTTAGGATTCTAATTAACCTCAAATTCCATTTAGAATAGAATTCTAGAATTCCATTCTAATTTTACTATTATTTCAACTCTTTCTGGCATTTTTTGGGAAGGGTATAAGTAGGTTAATATATATACTCCTATTAACTACCATAGTTATGTAAACTAAAACAAATATTCTTAGGAAATCTTAATGAATTTTGAACAAATTCTCTTCTTAATTTCTTAGAGGAGATTCAGAAAATCAAAGATTATTTCCTACTGAAACAGCAAAAACTAGCCCCCTACTAATTTCAACTGAGTCCGTCCCCTTGAAGGTAATCTCGATATGACTTGGGAGCAATAAAATCATAAGATATCATAACTGAGAAAGAACATAGGTTAATGTAGAGTCACAGGCTGGTGGGAGAACAGTGCAGGGATGGGGCCTAAGAGGGCAAGAGGTACCTCTAGAATAAGATGAGTTAGAGAAAAGGCCTTTTAGGGCAGGGCAAAGACTCCTTTAAAAATTTCCAAGGCCTCTGAGTGTGATATAGCCCCTAAACATCAAAGCCAGCTCTTAGAGACACCTGGGGCTAGGAGCACAGGAGACTCCAATTCCATCCACCTCTCTCTTCTCTTTGCACCTAAATCCACAGATACCCTGATGCCTACGCTACTTGTCACGTCCCTACCACCTGGTCCTCTTTCTTGCATTGCTACACAAAGGACCTAGTTATGAGAGACCTCCACATTACAGTGAACTAGACCCACACAGAGAAATTCCCAACCACTGTAACACTGCACTGCAGGAGTCCATGAACTAATGTGGAAAAAAGTGTAACACACTGCTGCATGAAAAGATGGCAAACCCAGGATTTCAGGGCAGTGGGTTATATGTGCTTTTCTTTTTTTTGATTTTCTGTATTTATCCAATAGTTTTAAATAAATTGGCTTTATAATTCTAGTTTTAAAAAATTTGCCTGATGCTGAGTTGTAACTTCAATCTCCATTTATTTCAGTTCAGACTGGACTCTTTCAAATTCTACCACAAGTCATAGAGTAGTGTTAACAAAATGTCTAGTTAAAATGAACTGTTCCTGGTCAGATGTCCTACCTCAACTAAAGCACAACTGAAAACAGACTGAGTATATTCTTGGTGTGACTCTAAATTGGCCTCAGATACCCCAAACAAGGCCATTGAAGTCCACCAGTGGTCCCCAAAGTAAAATACAAATACTACCACTGGTAGCATGTGAGACCATTCTACAAGGTATATGAAGAAATATTATTTTAACAGTATATCATATCCTAATCACTAAAATATTAATTCAGTTAAGGAAGAAAAATCAGAAATATTAAGATATAAAAGCACCTTTTATTTTCCTGTTTCATGAAATGGGAAGCTCATGGCCAGTCTACGTACATTTGGTGAAGAAACTATAGGATCTATACTGCTGGCCCATCGAGTTGCTGGGAGAAGAAATCCAGCATTGTGTCTGTAGCGCACGGGTCAAGTGGCTGAAAGGACAACTGTGTCTGGTTCCTGGAGACGACAAAGGACCTGTAGATAGATGGAGTAAAAAACTTTGAGTTAGATGCTCCATGTGTGTGAAGAAGCATTGCCAGCACCAAGTAATTAATCACTCCTAATAAATATAAGTCACTAAAATCCTTAACTTTTAAGTTCAGGAATCATATTTTGAAGACAATGTTTCCTTTAAAACTAAAACAAAACTTTGGACTGTGATCAAAATGGCCATTCTAGTTAGAGAAGTTCCAGTTCATCCACACGATGGCTGGAGCTGTCTAAAGAAGGAAGTAGACGCGCCCACACAGCCGGTTGCTATGCTGCAGGATAGGACCCCAGGCACAGCACTTTCCTCCCAGCAAATGGCGCCCTCTGCTGTGTGCTGCCGGACAGTGGAAAGACCCATGCAGAAAGCAAAGACCCGGTTAGACTAACAAGGTGCAGAACAGTGCTTAGAGCATCCAGACTCTCATTTAACAAATAAGGAGTGGGGTGTGAATACATTTTACAGGCCAACTCCAGAAGCATATACAAGAAGGTAACAGTGGTTGCCTTTGGGGAAGAAAACAGATACATTTAAAGCTGGAGACGAGAGACTGTTTTGGGGGGAAACTTTTTTCAACATATATGTATCACTTTAAAAAGTGTTTTTAAACAGCCCAGTCTTAGAGGCAGGTATTTTATCAATGCCATGGATAGTGGTGTCCTGTGAGGAAGATGACAGGAGTGAGAGGAATCAGTGGACTCCAGGAAGTGGAAATACTGATTGGAAAAATTGCACATGCTTGAGCTTTTGCATTTCAGTGGAGAACCTAGTGATTACAAGGGAAGTAGTGAAAAAAAGGTCATTTAAGGGTACTAGGCTTGACAAACAGGCAGTCAGAGTGACAGCGACTCTCCCTCCAGTCTGAAGTTATGCAGAATATGGTAACGACTGCTTCATCCCACAAAGGGCCAAACACCAGAAATATCTTCGTGGCAACGAAAAAGAATCTGGTTGAGTGTATGAGGAAAATTTATACTATGACTACAATAAACTGTCAAAATATCCACTGTGGATATCTACCTACATTGAAAAATAAAGAAATAATCTCCTTTAGTAACTAAAAATCATTTCATCCACCCCTTCATTTCACAAGAAACTTAAGCCTACAAGGTCAGGGATTTGCCAGAAGCCATTAGATGAGTTAGTAAATGAGATTTAAACACCAGTTTCAATTGCAAATGAATTACTCAGTGGCATGAAGGTGGAAGCTGGCTCAGATGATACTGTGAGGTAGTCTGCTTAGTGAATTATGCAATAAAAAGTAAATGGAAAATAATGGCTTTTCATTTTAAATAAAATTAGGTTTAATTAAATAATCATTCTAAACCCCATTCTGTTGGGCACATTTTTAGCTTTTCTTGTAATCTCCTCAATTCACAACAAAATATCAACTGGATATGAATTTTTATCTTACACCCTTTAGAACTGAAATCTGATACACTTGATATACTTCAAGTATAATAAAAATCAGTATCATCAGATTTAGAGTTCCTTAATCTTTTTTAAAAAAGATAAATACTAATCACAGCTAATAATGTATTTACCTTAAAAAGGTCCAACTGTCAAAACTAGAAAGAATTCAATTTTAAGAGTTTAGGAATAACCTCTCCATATATAATCACTACGACTAAGTTTACTTAAATTGTGTTGTGATCTTTAAAACAAAAGACAGCAGCAGCTCCTGCTAAGTCACATTGTGAAGCTTAGTTACAGATAATCACCCACTGACAATCATTGATCACTTTTGTTCTGATCCTTTGACTTCTTTTTAATTTCAAACCATGACATCCCGTCTCAGGAAACAACCACCATGACGTCTACAGAGGGCGGAGCCCAAGAAGCCCCCTTGGGTGAACCTCTTCAAAGGCACAGAGTGCGTACCTGAAGGTCTCATTTTATTGCCCAACAGTTTTCACCATGAAGAATTTCTTCCTTTTAACTAGGTTTCTTCTATTAAATCAAGCTGGTTAACTAGTGACATTTAAGAGATTTTAGAAAAATTATGGTTATGTTTCTAAAGGAAACTCAGCAACTTTTTAAAATCAAGGCAACTATTAACTCTAGGAGAAAATATAATGACAGAGCAGTAACTAGCTCAGCTGTGATGACAATATACATATAATCTTAATAATGAAAATAGCATCCACAGAGTCCATCAAAATTGTGCATAAAACTGTGCTAGGAAAAAGGAGGGATGGAGGTGTAAGAGCTCTTCAATTAGCATAACATTGGGTAGTGGGTACCCAGTGCAATACACAAATCATGTATCATAGAGATGTACACTTGAAACCTTCATGATCTTATTAGCTAATGCCACCCCAACAAATTTAATAATAAAAACTAAAAATTAGCATAACAATGTTAACACAGGCAAAAACAATATGCACAATCTATTTAGAAATATAACCAGAAGAAAGCTGAAAGAACTGAAAGTATCTGACAAGATGGAAGATGGGAAGGAGTAGGAAAGAGAACTGGCTTCCAGATACAAACCTTTTAGTATTCTGTAGAAATATAATATTTTAAGATACGATACAACAATCATCAAAGAAAGGACTACTATCCTTATTTTACAGATGTGGAAACTGAGGGTCTGAGGGGTGGCATTTGCCCATGTTTGAAAAGGTAGAAAGTGCTGGGTCAGAGAAGTATGCCATCATTCATTCTGCCAGTCAGCATTCTTCTGCACTCAGGGTCTCTGTAGGGTTATTCCCGCAGCCAAGGGTGCTCCTCTCTGACTTCCTCACATCAGTCCAGCTGGGGGACACTGCCTGGCTCATAGTAAAGGGTGGAGTAAATAGTTTACAAATGAATGAATCACACTACCAACAAATGAATAAATAAAGGGAAGAGCCCAGGTCCACCAGATTTCTCTGCTGGACATCTTGGGCAATGTATACAGGCATCTTGACAGATGGAGTTAACAATGAAAGGGAATAACACTAAAAGTAAAGCCCAGCACACAGACTTCCAGAAACTCAAGGATGCAATGAGATTTCAATTCACAGCTCATGTGAAAAGGCAGGATTAAACTGACCACAGGCACAACATGGGCTCAGCAAGGCTCAGCTTCTACCCTTTCTGGAGAGGACTGAAGATAAAGCCCTGCACTATGCTGGTGTAGGAGCAGAGGCCTCTACAAAAACTCTGAGAAAAGGAGACATCACAGCATCCAGACACCCCGGGACCCAATCCTGCCATTTACTGTCTGTATGACCTTGGCCAAGTCACTCAGCCAGCCTCTCAGAGTATTGTTACTTTGTCACTTGTAAAATGACAGTAACGAATTCCTCATAAACACCTGTGTGAGAATTGCCCAAGATTACATGTCGTAAGCCTGAAACACAGTAACCACTCAATAATACATTGTAGCCACTTTTGTTTTCAAACTGTAAGAGAAAGTTTATTTAGAAAGAGAGTTTAGAAAGTCAGAGGTAGGGGCTCTGGAAACAAGTTACAGAGACAAAGGAAGCAACTGCAGATATTTTTAAAGACAAGAACTGTAATAACTGTAATCATGAATAATATTCTTTAGACCCTACACATTCCAATGATAAAGAATGTGCTTTGTTCATTCACATTTCTAAAAACTACATAATGTACTCTTACATTAGATCTTATAAGAGAAGGTAGTTGGATAAATGAATCTCACCATTACTGAGAACAGTTTTTGACGCCAAAGTAGAAGCTATTGGAAAGGTGTTGATATAAAGCTGCCTGGACCATGAATGACCTGTAAAATTAAAAAAAAATAAAGGTACATTATGGCATGAAAAAGAATGTCAAAAACAGTAAAACCCCTGTAAATGTTAATATCTATAGACTAAAAGAACCAAGACAGGTAAATGAGTGATTTCTGGGTTCCATGACCACTTGCCCAAGTAACATCACATCTCCTTCATTCTCACATCCAACCAGCTACCAAGCCCTATAAATTCTCCTCAAAAATCGATCCACCTGTCAGCTGAACCCTCCTATGGTCTCCCTTCCCCTTTCTAGTTCAGGCATCATCACCCCTCAGCCACATGGTAATTAACAACAATCCCCTACTATGTCTTACTGCTTATGGTCTGTCCCCGTGTAATTCACCATCTGCTGCCAGGCAGGCCTTTCTAAAATAACAGGTCCAGTTGCTAGTCACTTCACAGCCACAATTTATCACCTACTGCCTGCAGAACAAAGCCAAAACTTCTCAGCATAGCCTACGGGGCTGCAACTTAGACCCCACCTTCCACACCAGCCTCACTCCCTCCACGCTACCTGTGGCCACACCAGACTCAGTCAGTCTTGAACACACTCTGCTCTTGCACCCTTTTGTGTCCCTGACATAGTCTGTGGTCTGTCTGAAAAAGCACCTCTTAGTGAAGCCACAGTGCTACCCCAACACTCTGCTACCCTCTCTCCTCCACAGTGACAGGCTGTAACTGTCCTGAGTATCATTTCATAGAGTCCAGTGCTTCACAACAGGCTCTAACAGCATTAGTCTGCAACTGACTTTTGAAAAGGGTGTTAGGGCAAATCAGTGGGGAGAGAATAATCTTTTCAATAAGTGGTGGCGAGACAAGTGAATATCCACATGAAAAAGAATGAAGTCAGAGCCCCACTACACATCATACATAAAAATTAATTCAAAATGAACCAAAGACCTATAGGTAAGGGCAAAAACTGTAATACGCAGAAAAAACCATAAGGGTAAATCATCAAGACCTTGGATTTGGCAATGGTTTCTTAGATATGGCACAAATAGTATAAACAACAAAAACAAAAAAATCAGATTCTGTTGAAATTTAAAACTTAGGCTTCAAAAGACAATACCAACAAAATATAAAAACAACACACAGAATGGGCCATATTTTTTTGCAAATCACATATCTGACAAGGTACTTGCATCTGGAAAATACAAAGAACTCTTACACTTCACTAATAAAAAGCCCAATTTTAAAACGGGCAAAGACTTACGTAAACAGACATTTCTCTAAAGACCATAAGCAAATGGCTAATAAGCAATAAAAAACGATGCTCATTAGCCATCAAAGAAATGCAAATCAAAATCAGAATACCACTTCACGCTCACTAAGATGGCTATAATCAAGAGCACTGACAAATGATGGCGAAAATGTGGAGAAATTAAGGACCCTCCTGCACAGCTGCAAACAGCCAACGGGGTAGGCGTAAAAGGGCGACAGCAAAACTACTGACATTCAAAGCATCACTCTTTTTAATAATGGCCCTGACCAGCCCGAGATCTCACACGACTGACAATAATCCCATCCGACTGCAGCTGCAGTACGACCCCGCTCTCTCGCCGCCCACTCAATCCCGGTGTCGACCGCACCGGATGAATCTGTGGGTCGCGCCCGTCGGGAAGGCGACGCACGCTTGCGGGTCCCGGCCCCTCCCTGCCAAGCACGCGCAGGCGGTCTGGAGAAATGACCTCGTCCAGCCCTCCCGCGCTTTGCAGGCTCACAGATGCCTGGGGCGCGCGCAAGGTCACACCGCAGATCAGGGCAGGACGGAGCCCGGCGTGAGCGCCGCACGGTCCGCGCGCGGCTTTCTGCTTTACTCCGCCTAGGAGAGACCCCCGGCCCACTCGCAGTGCCTGCCCCGCGTTCCGGGTCTCACCCACTGGCGCGCCGCACAACGCAGGGAGGCGGCCTGCCGCACGAACCGCCGCCGCCATGTTGGAGCCCCAGCGGCGCCCCGTGCAGGCAGCCCTCCCCACCGCCTGCCGGAACTGCAGCTTGTAGCAAGGCAGGCCTCAGCTCCTCGCGACTGAATTCCCGAGGCCAGGCGGCTGTGCAGCCGCGCAGCCCCGGGTGGGAGACCGTGCCGACCTGCACCAGGGTGGAAACAGACCGGCGCAGCTGCGGACAACCTGACAGGGTCCTCGCGTGAGGACCGGGGAGCGGGGTGGGGCTGGTCGCCGCAGCGGGTTGGGATTGGGCAGGCTCTGAGTCGTCTGGCGGGATGGGGCGGGACCAGCGGGTTCTCTAAGGTGACCGGGGCGGTCCAGTGACCTAGCTTTCCAGCCGGCGCGCGCTAGGCGCAGGGATCCTGGGTCCACGTGGTTGAGATAGAGATGGCAGCGGAAAGGTCTGAGTGGAGGACCTGGTGTAAAACAAAAAATGTGGGGAAGTCGTTCATACCCACTCCAATAATGCTGTGGAATTCATTAGCTTTAATATGATTCTAAGGTTTGGCCACTCACTTGTATCCCACGTCTGGGCATGTTTTTACTCACTTGGGCATGGCTATATCTGGCCCTTCCAGAATGATCCAGGTACCCAGGAGGGGAAAGACACTGACGTCTTGCAGGAAGCTAGGAATACTGCTCAGACAGACGCTTTCAGACTTCATGTAAAATACTCAAACATACAGAAAAGCAAACAGTAACAAGATAGAGCCCAAGGTTATCACAATTGATAGCTCCTTCATCTACTATTTTTCCTTTGCTGAACTAAACAATTGGTTTCACTCCTGCTTATTTTAAATTGGCTCATTTTAAAGAAAAGAGATTGATCTAAACCTAGTGCTGGCAGAGGTTTGGGAGACAAGTAGAGATTATTTAGGGATGGAGAATTGCTGCCTAATTGGCCCCCTTCGTGTATGGCCCCCAAAATCTCCTCTTCCTGTAGTTGCATGTCATCCTTTGCCAAGTAATGGAATTTATACCCCTACATTGAATCCAGGCTGACCTAACACTACTTCGATCAGCTGAGAATGGGGTAAGGTGTCCTGGGGAAGCAAAAGAGAAAAACAGTGATCACATCGTGTTAACCCATGGTCATTTGTGCCAATTCAATCCCAACAGCAATCCTCAGTTTGGGTGTGGTGAAGAAAGGACCTTTATTCAGTGTAAAACAACTCAAATGTTATAAAACAGCTGTGAGGAAGCCATGGGGCCAGGCCCCTTTGGCTAGACAATGCTGTAAGATATCTTGTGTTTCAAATCAGTGAGAAAGTTGCACTCTCCAGTCTTTGGTGGAAAGGGAAAGTGTATCCCCTGAGCCACCCTGGAGCTGGTTTATGGGACCAAAGGCCCCTCCCCTGGTCCTTGATTGGTCTGTCACGATGCAAATGAGGACTCCAAATCCTCCAAAAGGAGGATTGATCCTCCTTTTGATTGCTCCAAAAGGCACTGACCTGATTGGTCAGAGTAGAATCATCCTGGTTGGTTGGAGCTATGCAGCTTTAATGGGGGGAGGGGGGGTGAGCTTCAGTTCTCCTTTATAAGAGATAGTTTAGCAGAAACACAGTGTAAGCAGGCAATTCAGCACAGACTTCCTGAAGCGCAGTTTGTGCAAGAGGGCCCTAGGTAGAAATTGCTGCTAGGCTCTGGTTGATGTGTTTTTTGTTTTGTTTTTAATAGAAACTAGACCAGTTAGCCACCAGGATCCATTCTTAGTAGGTGTCTTCTTTCTTAGGGTTCACAGTAGAAATCACCCAATGCAAAGAACAGAGAAAAAAGATTGAAAAAAATTTAACTGAACTTCAAAGACTGGTGGCAATACATGGAAAGGTAGTCTCAGTAGGTGAAGAGAGAAAAAGGGACAGAAAGATAGCTGAAGACTGCATTGGAAAGAAGTGGTGTTTGGGGACATCCAACCAAGGCATAAGAGGACTGGCAGCTTCCATTTTAATCTCTTTGGTATCCAGTCACCACATAAAGACATGTAATTCAGCCTAGCCAAGTTGACATATTTAATAGTCGTAACAGTCCACCCCATGTCAACCTGGCACCGATACACACCTCCTTAAACCATATTTAATCTTCACATAAAGAAAAAGGTCATGCTTCTGCCTTACATGATACAACTGTCCTGTGGACAACCAAAAACAAATACCTTTCCAAAAAGAGAATACAGAGGTGGCTTTGTCCTTGTGTGATGGTCATTCTTCCTCTGGCTGATTCATACTCCTCTTTTATATCCTATAATTTAAATACTGAGATAAAAAATTATTATCAATATATTTTGCTAGTTAAGGGGATAAGAGGGAGAAAGGAAACAAAATATTTTGTTATTTTTATGCAAACACCAAAATAAAGGACTAATAACTTAGAACCAGCATAATCTCATTATGATCATGGGTTATGTGATCATAACTAGTATTTATAATTACCATCTGCTACCCATTGCATGTTCTCTTTGCCTTCAGCAAGCATCTCAACTGGTCGAGGTTCCTGGCTGTTGGTTTGACCCAAACCTTCACTCCTGAAGAACCTACATCATTAGAAGTTCTGCCTGGGTTGGGTTGTTGTAGTTTTCCACTGACTTTAATTACAGGCCTTGAGAGAACTAAGTGGTCACCTAGGGATCTTTTGCATTCCATACATGCTCCTTCTTATCCTTATTGTGCAGCAGCAACCCAATTTCTTCTTGATAGTCAGGACCAGAAGGAATGCTTTCTTTATTGTTTCAGTGGCAGGAGGAGTTAAAAGTAGCCAGGTGGCAATATCAGCTTCCAGATGGCTGGAAACATTGTTGTGTCACCTGGTAGAAGTATTACACTGTCTAGAACTAAGACTTCTAAATAAGCAGTGACAGGAAGCAAATTTTTTGCCAGTCAATTAGCAGGGATAATAGTGAGAGAAGGCACTCTCATGCCCAGCCCTTGATAACTGGACCCATAATCTGTTATGGGAGAAACAGCATTATATATTGGATGCTTATTTAGCATCCTGGAGGACCTTGCCCCAGCCCACGATATGTTACCATCTACCTAACACCATAATCAAGTCTTCAAAAAGCCATTCCATTGAGAGATTTCCCTTCACCACTGTCCACTTTCAGGTGGTGCCTGCATATCAAGCAGAACCTGAGTTCTCTTCAAGCAGCTGGTAATGGGAACTTCTCATTGGGTTGTGGGTGGGGATGAAGATAGTGTAGCAGGAGTAGAGGCTGTGGTCATAAGGAATCATACAGTTACTTGTGCCTTCAGGATCTGCTTGAACCCAGCTGCATATAAATCACTTCCACTTGTTTGATGGAGTGCTGCTGTGCACCCAACTTCATGACCTGGTGTAGCAGATGGGTCTTCGCAGACAGCTCAGGCCACATGGGAATTTGCTGGCCCATGGTCAAGCATTCAGGTATTGGTTAGTGTGTTTCTTACTTGTTTGTAACCTTTTTTCAATTTAGTTTTATTTATTTAACTTATTTATTTTTAGAGAAAGTGATGGAGAAACAGGTGGAGAGAAATATCAACTGTGGTTGCCTCTCATGTGCCCCCAGCTGGGGACCTGGCCCACAACTCAGGCATGCGCCCTGACTGGGAACTGCACCAGCAACCCTTTGATTGACAGTCCAGCACTCAATCCACTGAGCCACACCAGCCAGGGCTCTAACATTTTATTTCAAAATAAGTATAGATTCATAGGAAATTGCAAAACTAGTACAGAAAAGGTCCCATGCACCCTTTGCCCAGTTGTCCCAAGAGTAACATATAACAACCATACAATACCAAAGTGAGGGGATTGATGTTGGTACAATCCACGGAGTTTATTTAGATTTTACCAGTTTTATATGCATTCATTTGTGGTGTGTATATGTAGTTCTATCCATTTTTATCACATGTAGATTTCTCTAACCACCACCACCAAGACAGACAGTGCTCTATCACTACAGACATCCCTGGTGTTTTCCCTTTGTAGTCATATTTGCCTCTCTTCCCTCTCTTCCCCTAACCCTTGGCAACCATTAAATCTGTTCTCCATCTCTATAAATTTGCCACTTTGAGAATGTGATATAAATAGAATCCTACAGTGTGTGGCCTCTGGAGGTTGGCTTTTTTACTTGCCATAATGTCCTTGGTGTCTGCCCAAGTTGTTGCATGCATCAGGGTTGCATGCATGCAAACTTTTGGTTTAACCATCACCCATTGGAGGATATTTAGTTTGTCTCCAATTGTTGGCTCTTTCAAATAAAGCTGCTGTGAATATCCATGTATATTTTCTGACACTTAAATTTTTTTATTTCTGATAAAACACACATAACATAAAATGTACCATCTTAACCACTGTTAACTATATAGTTCAGAGGCATTAAGAGCATTTCTATCCTTGTACAGCTGTCACCAAAATGCATCTCCAGAACTCTTTCCTTCTTGTGGAACTGAAACTCTGTCTGTTAAACAGCAATGCCCTCCTTCGTTTTTCTCTCCAGTGTTTGGCAACTACCATTCTACTTTCTATCTCTATCAGTTTGTTTACTCAGGGTTCCTCATATAAGAGGAATCATACATTTTTTTGTCCTTTTGTGACTGGATTATTTTACTTAGCATGATGTCCTCAAAGCATGTGTCAGAATTGCTTTCCTTTTTAAAGGCTGAATTATATTCCACTATATGTATGAACACATTTTGTTTATCCATTCATCTGCCAACAGATCTTTTGGCTATTGTGAATAATGCTGCTATGAACATGGTGGGCACAAATGTCTTTGTGACTCCCTGCTTTCAGTACTTTGGGGTGTATACCCATCATATATGGGTTTTGTGTATGCATATGCTTTCGTTTCTCTTGGGTGCATGCCAAGCAGTGGACTGTATAGTGTGTTAAGTTTTTAAGAAACTGCTGAATTCTTTTCCAAATGGCCATTTGGAAAATACCATTTTATATTCCCATCAGCAATGTGTGAGAGATGTTATCCCTGTGTATTCTCAGTAGCACTTGCTAATGTCACTTAAATTTTTTTTAGCTGTTCTGATAGTTGTGTAGTGATATCTCATCATGGTTTCAACTTACCCTTCCTTAATATGTAATAATATTGAACTTCTTTTCATGTGTCCATTTGCCATCTGTTGCCCTCTTTGGTGAAATGGCTGCTCACTCTTTAGTCGGATTGTTTGCTTTCTTTTACCATTATTTTGAGTTATTTATT